CAAGCACACACACGGACCGCTTCCATTTCCACCAGTGGGTAATACACCAGTGGGGGGAAAAATAAAATAAAATAAACAGTCCCCACGGAAAGCAGTGACGTGCAAGGGTCAATAAAGCAACTTCCACGAGCTCTACCAAGTGGCCAGGATCCAGAGCAGCATTCCGGCCCCGCCAAGGGCGAGATGTTCTGTCCATCAGATAAACAGAGAGGGCCAGAGCCCGCAGCCAATGCCTGCGTCAAGCTAACGAACCCACAGCTTCAATGGCGGGATGTTTGGAAAAGAAAAAAAGTCCAGTTTGCTGGCTTCAGAACGTGAGCCCCGTTGATAAAGTATGAAATATTAGCATTGTTTAAGGTGACGAGCCTGACTCAAGGCCTCCTCATCCAAGAATTGTCATGCCTGTAACACAATATTGATGTGGTGGCTTATAATTCTTACTTTACATAAAAGCTTCATTGTGTGCCAAATTCAATCTCCACAGGCTACCTGAGCCACAGATTTTTACGAGTCTACATTTCAGCGCAGCGAGTCTACAATACACATAATTTTCAATTATGTTAGGGCAGAACAGGATCACTGCCTATATAACATTACTGGTTGGAGGAAATGAGACTCAGCCCTACTGCCGAGAGAGCTAACTGGATCCAGATGGCGGGCCGAGCGAGGCAGCCGTCCGAAGGAGCGACGTCGCAGCAGCCGCCCCCTCCACAACTCTCTCTTTCACGATGGAGATGCCAAGCCATCGCCAGGGCGGGGAGCTGGGAGGGGGGGAGTCGCATCACGGCATGGGGAGGGCAAAGGAAGAGGCGGGAGAGGCGTGATTGCTTTCGCAGGTTTACTACTGCTGCCCTACGCTGCGATATTCTTATTAAAGAGGAGAAAAATTAAGTCCCCTTACAGCGGAGAGGTAAATCCTTTCCTTCCTCAAGCAACTAAATAGCAGGAAATCCTCTTCTCTCAGCCCTAAATGCAGATTTGAGCCAGACAGTTCCTCTGATTTGCAAGGAGTCCACAAAAATCTGAAGCCGACTTTCCCAGCCTTCTGACACTGCTTTTACATTCCTGCACCAGGGGGGAAGGGTAGGAGGGAGGGAAGTTCCCACCATCCTGCTCCTGCAAAGGCTGGACACACGCTCGCTCCTCTCCTGCTTCTGTGTCTCAGTGTGGAAATTAGGACTTGCCTGTACAAACATTGCACTTTTCAACAAATTAACTCTAACAAATCTGCACAAATTATTTCGGAGCAAAACTGTTGAAATGGGCTCTGCTGGCTTGCTTTTAACATTCTTTAAAATAATGTCATCTTGCCATAAGCATTTTATTCCCTGTTTAACAATATGATCTGATGGGGATCATTAGCATGTGTGTGTTTTTTTTTAAAAAAAAAAAAAAGAAAAGAAAAAATGTTTTATGGCAAGTCTCAGAGAGCTTAAGCAAAATAATTGTTAAGCTCTAGGCCTCTGCACAAAAATTAAAACACGTATGGGGCAAGCGTACTTGAGAGAAACCAAAGCTTTTAAAAAGGTTGTTAAATTGTCAGCACAAGGGAAAAGGCAAATGATTCGAACAGCCTAGATTTTTTTTTGTAGAAGGAGAACAAAAAACCCACTCCACTCCTGCAAGCAGCACGTCCTCACCTCCCATCTGCAACCAGAAGGTCCTGTAAAGCACAGACCCACCGAGAGCAGCTCTGCACGCCCACCCCTCCAAATACCACCGAAAGCAGCTGCCTTCCTGGGCACCAGTAGGGCAAACAAACATCTTTCCCAAGATTTCACAGCAGAGTTGGTCAAAAGCAACTAAAATTCATATCCAAGACTAGAGGAGTTTGTTGGAAACACTTACTCAAGGCCAGCAGCCACCCCCCGCT